GCCTACAGTATTTTTACAGTCTTTATTTTACAGTTAATGTATGTTTATCATATAAAGTCTAATGTTACAACTAATCAGGGATCCCTTTAAGGATGTTGAATGAGCTCCATTAATTTCAAATGAGAAAATAAAATAAAGGCAGAAAAGACTAAATATGTCAGCAAGTATAAATTGCTGAGAAACAAAAAGCCAGAATGTCCTGAAGGAGCTGAGAATGACACCAAGCACACATTCTGAGCAAAAACAGATCGTTGTTAAAAACTAGTTTTACCTGATAAAAATCAGCTGTTTGTTTTATTCCATGAACCACTAAATAAATTTTACCAAAACTCGATGTCACTTTAAATATATCATAGGTATTAAAGTAGCGCTGATTTGTATATTTTCAGAACATTTTATTCTAACAAATCAGATTGTGAATCTCACAGCTTTCTGGGAAATTCTAACAGAAGAGTTTGAATTAGTTTAGTTGAACTGATCAAACTGTTTATTGTCTCAAGCTTTTATTAACTGTAAATACTGACAGTTTCCTGATGAGCAGAAGCCTTCTCTCTGAATGAAAGACGACCAGCAGCTGGTTGAAGTTCTCTAAGGTTCATTTTTCACAACGTTTTTTATTTAATTCAGTGAAGACTGAAGAAAAGTTTTTCTCCAAAGCAGCTCAATGTAACACAACAAATGATTTGTAATTAAAATTTAATTTTATTAACACTTGAAATCAACAGAAAACAACACTTATGGGCACGTGTCCGTTGTTCTGCCTGGTGTGATTGGATCACAGCAGAATGAAAGATGGCCTCTCATTGGTCAGCATCTGAAGCTAAAAGCTGGCCTCTCATTGGTCAGCAGCTGTAGCTGAAAGCTGGCCTCTCATTGGTCAGCAGCTGTAACAAGCTCAAACCATTGCCTGAGGGCATCACTCAGGGTCTGGGGCAGGGCGTTGACGTCCCGCAGGATGATGTAGAATGGGAAGGGGAACTCCTCCATGTAGGAGTGGATCTCCGGTAGTTCTCCTGGTCCTTTGAATACGGGCACTTTGATGTCCAGGATCGAGTCCTGCAGAACAGAACTCTGCTTTAGATGCATTGAATGTGGACATTTAGACAAGAAAAGACATTCAGTTCAGCTTGTATTACCCGGGAGTTGGGGTTGTCCAGAACCACAAAAATCACAAATATGTTTGCAGACTGTGCCGCCTGCACGGCTGCCACCACTCGGTCCTTTCCCTCCAGAAACAGTCCTCTGCCATCGGACACGATGAGCAGCAGCTGGGCCGTCTCTGTGGACCCATGTGTCAGGTTAGACAGGAACATGTGTTGTCTTCTTTCAAGGTTTAAAACAGGTTAACAAGGTTTACTGTTTATTTGATTCGGTCCTGATGCGTCTCAGTAAGCCAGGTAGAAAATAATCAAAAAGAAAAAATAAGTAGATCCTCTGGATGGTTCTTCTTTAGTGAAACGTTTCGTC